GGGGGGAGGAGAGCCCCCCCCCCGCGGGCTGAGGGAGGCGCCCTCCCCCCGCTGCAGAAAAACAGCGGAACGCCAGGAGCAAAGCCTGTCAGCAGCGGCCTCTACCGGACCAGACCGGAAGTGCACCGCGTCCAGCCGGAAGCCGGAAGCCGGAAGACCGGGACCGGAAGTGGACGCTTTTCCTAAAGGTCCAGAACATAAACACAGAATTACGTCTATAGAAAAAAATTGACTTGAGTAAAAGTAAAAAGTATTCTTTCAACACCATACTTAAGTGGAAGTCACAATTTTTTTGTACTTAAGTATTGCAAGTAGTAGTATTTCAAAAATTGCTACTCAAGTATTTAAAGTACAAGTATAACTACAAGTATTGTGTATATTTAAAAAGGCCGTCAAAAGTTTGATAGATATTGTTTATATTATTTTAAATTTGTGAAAGGCCATATAGGTATTTACAGAAAACACAAAACTACATCTGCATTAGCAATGAACAGTACTTAATCTACTATTATTTATTATTCCAGAATCCTGAGCTGAGCCTTTATGCTATCATGTAGCATACAGCTAGGTTAGCTTTAGCTAACGTTATCATACAGCTAGCCAGCTAGGTTAGCTTTAGCTTACGTTATCATACAGCTAGCCAGCTAGGTTGTCTTTAGCTAACGTTATCATACAGCTAGCCAGCTAGGTTAGCTTTAGCTAACGTTATCATTCAGCTAGCCAGCTAGGTTATCTTTAGCTAATGTTACTGCTACGTCCTGAGTGAAAATGGAGAACTAGACTAGTGTTTATTTGATATCTTATATGTCATTGTATTTTTTAACTTACCTTGATGTGCTTTGTCAGATTAGATTGAAAGCCATGATTTTAATCTTTTGGGGGGCATTTTTAAATAGGCTATCGCCCAATGAGGAGCCAGCTTCCCAAACCCTGACAGATTCATTACGTTTACATATCAGTGACGAGTAACGATTCAGCCCGTGAAAGTATAAGTAAAAGTATTTAAATAATCAAAAATATGTTGTGGAGTAAAAGTAGGAAAAAAATGTATTATAAAGTACATATAAATATGAAGTACAGATACTGCATTTTGGTACTCTAGTACAGTACCTAAGTAGTTCTACTTCGTTACTGTACATCTCTGGTCCTAACCCTAACCCTGACCCTAACCCTAACCCTGACCCTGACCCTCCAGCCTTCATAATTGTGAGAAATAAATATTTTTTGGTTAAACTTGTTTGGACTTATTGTACAAACCTATTTACCATCCACTATTTTAACATAGTATTATGGATAGAGTTTAATTCAGTGTTTGCAATATTCATTTAACCAAATAAGTCCCTGAAGAAGGACGGAGGTCTTGGCTGCCTTCAGGAGCAAACATGAGGCCATCGCTGTCTAAACGGTGTTTGTTTGTCTGACACACTTTGTGACAAGCGTGAGAATGGACTTGCAGGATACTTTAGAGGTCAACTTACTTTGGTGGTCAACAGAAAATATGGGCACCCTCCATCTAACCTCTCAAACCAACCCAGAAGCATGGGCAGACACAGGTGATATTCATCAGGTAATTATCCAAACCAAGCCACCTCTGCACGTGTAAGACCTGGCCAGGAGGGGGCGCTGTGCTCCTTAAAACCAGACTCCTTGTCAACAGGATAGACTTAAGACAGACCTGTTCATGATATGAGTGGCCCAGCTCTTTACTGGGGATTTAAGCTGATTTATAACGTGTTGTAAATGTATTTTACAGCAAAAATGACACAAAATATATCTCTGGTTGACATAAAACTAAATCAAACAAACTTGTTTGACACGGTTTAATGGTTTAGGTTTCATCATCTCAGTTGTTCCAACCTACTCATGACTCATTCTCAGCTTTGGGGCGTTAAGAATAAATCTATATCT